CTGGAACATATCCTAGATGAATTATTCATACATTGCTATTTCATGCCTTCGACAAAGCCGTACCTTTATGGTTTCATACACTGTTGGATGCTGTCCTAGTCCCTTACAGATAGTTGTTTTACAGAAGAAAAATTCGGGTTATCTGAAGAATTGCTTCAGCCCTCGATTTGCGATCATCAGAACAAAATCCGAACGAAATTTCAGCATTTATTCTGTCATAAATGAATAAGATTTTTTTCACACCTTAGGCATGAACACAAAGATTTGAAGCGTATCATTGATTCACGTTTACCACACTGTCACAAATTTCTGTTTGAAGTGATTTAACGTATTCAGCAGATGCAAAGAGAACATTCGCCTCACCGTGTGAAGTTTCTCGGCGGAACTTGTTTCCGAGAATCTCCTTAAGCATATTATATGGTTGCTGTGTGTGTGGTCACGCTAATAAGATGTGTTTCTATCAATCATACACCCAGCACTTAAAAGGTAGGATTCAAACCGAAACAGATAGTGTGCCGTATTGTTCGCACCGAATCTGGCGCTGAACACATTCTATATCGCTAAATACAGCAAGAGTTTTTATTACAGAAAAAAATTTGAATTATTATTATTTGAGTACAAGATCATTGCGGTGGAACTTGATTTCAGGCCCACGTTTGTGCTCAAGTTTGGATTCAGGTTGGAAAATATTTCAGGAAGTGCATTTAAGGTGGATTTATCGAATAGTAGTGGATCACTGGCTTTGATAAGTTAGAGCAAGATGCTTAAATGGATAGAATGCTTGTGTTGGTCATCTATGGAAAAGTTTTCTTAATCAGAACTGAAATCAGTTCATCAATTCATATGTATGTTGCGTGCTAGTTTTTGTTATAGTTTATTCGAATTGCTAAACATAAGCATTATAAATAAGAGCTCAGTTTGTCTGTCTACTGATTGATGCGTTAATTGTGAATCTCGTTGTGTATCTGTTGCTCAACAATGATAGAGGAGAGTAAAGAAATCTAATTCACGAACGGAGGGCTAGAAGCATCAACAACGCCAAAAAAAAACAATATGCACTTGAGCAAGTGACAACAACAGTATGAACAACAACAGTTTATTGAGGTGCAATTGAAGTGCAAACAACAACAACAACGGCAGAACAGGTAACGCAATAAGAGCACATTCATCAGTTTTTTTTTAAAGATTAAATCATAAAAGAGTTCTACGTACTCGCTTGTGTTTATTGATTTGATTCGGCGTCCAACCCATCAGATAACCTTGCTGGTGGGCCGCCACATGAAACCAGCAGGGCATGGTTCGCTGTCTTCGTCAATAAATAATGATTTTTGAAAAGAACAATTTGTATTTCATGATTTTCGATAAAAATATATAACTTGATGTGTTGGTAGCAACAATTAAGTGGGAATGAAGAAAGGATGTGAGTTCGAATTTGAGATTGTAATGGATCAGGAAATGGTTAGAAGCAAACACGAAAGTCAAAAAATAGAGGTGAAAAGAAATCATCGAATAAACACTGAAACTCGATTAAATTATTGGCATAGTGGTGTGGCAAAACTTTTGCCAGGTTATTTTACGTGATGGAAGCAGTGTTCAGTGAGTGTTTTGCTCTTGATATTTTATGGATAACAGAAGATTGGATCGATGGAAGAACGATTGAAGAAATGAGTAGATCAGGTGAAAAAGATCACAGCTGCAGCAATTATCTTTCTTTTAGTGTATTCACTCGTGAAATCAGTTTCTTACTGAACCAAGAACAAACTAAAATCACCATCATCACTATCATTACTTTGAATGAACGAACTGCCTACGTCATTAACATCGATCAGTTCACTTATGAGGCAAATCATGTCCGAACAATCGTTAAGATGACTTCCATTAGAAAAGGCACGATAGTTGATGCATTTGTCGACTGCTTACTAAGGCAGAGGATTATCTATTAGCACTTCATCGTTAATCCATCCATTCACCTAACTACTCGAGTCATTAATCCGATCCGACCCCATTTACCAACTGATCATTTTTTGTTGCTTTTTTCTTGCAAATTCATTACTCATTCTTGCAAACTATTGTTACTGTTGTTGCTGTTCATGCTACTGGAGAATAAAGCATTTATATGTGTATGATTGTTCACAAAAGTTTCTTCCTTCGGGTCGGTAAAATAAAATTATTGCATGATGGTGTGACAGAACCTTTGCTAGGTTATTTTTGTTTGGTTTATTCGATGGACAGATGCAGAGCTGGCTGGTGACTGTTCGCAAACTTTGAGCATATTAACGAATGAATTCATTTTTCGTGAAACTTGAGGGGTAATGAGGCCCAAAGAGAGAACTGTTGTGGGTGCGTAAGTTTTGGATTCATGAAACGATGAGCGACTGGTTGGCTGTTTTGAAAGTCTGATGAGGAACATAAACAGATTGTTGCATTATTCGCTTGTTCGAGAAATGTCGGCTATACTGAATGGAGAAACTGATGCACAAGGTGGTGATCTCGTCTGAGCGATTTCCATATGATGTACGAACGGATCAGTGGATGAATACTTAGATAGATAAAAGCTTAAATAAAATCTGAGAAGAACAGAATGGTAAGGGAAGAAAAATCTGCCTGATCCTGAAGATGTTATCAATCAAATCGGCACGTTAATTATCCACGAGACAAGACATCTGCTACTGCCTTTGCGCTTTTTCACCCGTCTTCTTCTCACTTAAACACTAGTTAACTGCTGCCAAGTGCAACGATTACTATCTTAAAACTGATATATTCTAAACAAAATTATGATTGCAAAACACACAAAAAACATAGAAAATTTCACGCCTTCAACATCGAATCCGTGGTCAGTCAAACCGTCGAAAATTTGCTCTTTTTCTAGTTTGGATTCCGGTTTCCACATCACACGTTGGTTCACACCACGCAGTAGATTTTGCACTAGTTCTTCTATCCGTCGTACAGCCAGTCAGTAATTGTGTGACTGCAAGATGAGATGATTAAGCAATAAATGTAAAATATTTGATACCCACTGTTGCACTAAATCTCTTATGAGCAGTTTTGTCCGTTTGTCGTGATGCAGATCGCTTTAAATTGTGCATAACGGCAATATTTTTTTGCAATGATAGTAATAATAATTAGCATGATGTGACATGTGAATATATGGAGCATGATGATGAATAGCTATGATAGCAAGCATGAGTAGTTAGGAAAACAGGTGGTTGTTTGGATGGACGAATGGATAGATGGATGTTTTGGATGTTCTAAGTGAGAAAAACGAAATGTGATCATATGCTAGGTACAGAGGATTATTAGACGGATGCTATACTAACTATAGCACCGGTAATAGCACTATCCGTATCAAATAATATCAGCAGCAGCAGCAAAACCAGAATTCGTAATAGGCTTATGAATCATCTATTCATATTTACTCTTTTATTCTGTACCCAACAAGTGGAAGAGTTCAACTCTGAATGGCGAAAATTTCTCAAGAGAATGAAACGAATAAAAAGAGAGTGATTGAGTGAATGGAGATGACTGTATGATAAGTTGATGAGGAGATATGGTCTAGAGGAAACCTTGTGATGGGGAAGAGACAAGAAAAGAACAAATGTGGGGGTGCAACATCAAGTGAAGTAATACTTGCAGAAGGGCAGAGTTAGAAGCTAACTAAAAAGCTTGCAAGTGCCTGAAGCAATAACAAAGTAACACCAACAACAGCTAGGTAAGCCCGAACTGATGGAGAATGTGTGTGTGTATCTATTCTTAGCCTCAGGTCTCGAGGCTAACGTTTATGCTTAAGGTTGTTAGTGGTGCTGTTGGAAGACGTTTCTCCATCTTGTTGTTGGCATTCTCTGACGTAGGTTTTATTGAGAGATCGTATTGAACTGAACGACTACTCCAAAACAATAAATAGCCGCTGGAAAAGATTTGCAAGCGATCAGTGCGTTCTAGTGCAGCTCTTGAGAGGATGGCAAGTGTAAGCAAGGTTTTGAAGTGACTGTAACTGATCCTTGCTTATGATTGTAACATGCAATAAACTTCAATAATATGGTTATCACCGATGAAGTGCATCACTATCACCATGCTCGTCGCTATCACTCAATTCAAGCATTCATAATGAAGACTCATCGTGTTATTCAGTCATCTTATCTTGGAAAGTCTCAACTTTCAATCTATTGTGTCATATCACAATGATTAGATTAACGGTTGTTCATTGCGCTTCACTTTGATGCGATTCACTTTGTTTCTGTTTCATGCTCGATTACTGTTATCAGGCATCAATAATTTTGCATATTTGATCACTTTGTTGCTCTTCATATCGAAAACACCTCTGGTTTTCTTCCAGTTATATAGCATTGTTTATGAATTAAGCTTTGCTATTCTATGGTTGTATCAGTAACAGTATCATATAAACTGGGTTTTGGACCAACGAAGAGTTATTATTATGATTGCGTTTTATGCGATAGAACTGAACTCGATTTTCAACAAACTGATAAGCTGGTTGAGAAAACATTAATAAACTCACTGGCTTGAAAATGTGAGTAGAAGATTTTTCGCGTTTATTGTTCCAGTAAAGGCTACCAATTGATTCAGCGAATTCGAATTGGCTCTTGCTTTTTATTTATGAGGATTGTTTTGATAAACATCTAGGAAAGAGCGTCAACTAATTTTCACTATCTTACTCAAATTGATAGCATGTGTCCATGCCAGATCAAGAGCGAGCGGGTGGTCGTCGGCTTATGCTCAACTACCGTAGCGTATCACTTCACTCATTTGCTAATTGTTTGTATCGTATGCTAAACATACATGGACGTATACCGTATACATAGTAGACCGTACTCGTTCAATTATACATGCGCTACGTATCATATTGTGCACTGGTTTGTTTGAAATGACAAACCTGATTCTGTGCCCTTCATGTTATTGTTATCAAGAGCACATGTTTGAATGTGTGATAATTAGATTGATACGAGCACTTTGATTATTCTTGTTTCAGAAACGCGATTGTAACCATGCCTGCTCCAGCTGTTCCCGAACAAGACGGTTCGTAAATTGTGTCGTTTGTTTTGTTGTTAATTCCTGTTTCATTGTTAATTCCTGTTTCATTGATTAAATAATTATCTTTCTTATCATCAACTTTATTTTACTGTGGCATGCGGAATATTGATCAAAGGTGAATACTATTGTTTTTTAGAGTGGTCTTCCGTTGAAACAAAAACTGTTGGTGAATGATTTTCGTTTGATTTTTCGCTGAAATGCTGGTGTGATGAGAAGAGTTGTTCCGTCAAATGACCATATAAATTTTGAGAAATAGGAAGAAGTGAATAAATGAACAATGTCGCAATCAGTCACATATTCCAGTAATATAGTGTCTTTACTATCTTCTCATTTCCAAGCAAGCGATTAATGACTAGGAATTCGAACAACGTGTCAGTCTGGAACTTTGAAGGTGCTTTCGAAGATCGACTGAGTAAACGAATGAGAGCAGGAGTTCTCGGATTCAAACTACTATAAATAGATTTGTAGGTGATGTGCAACCACATGCAACAATGGAGACTCGTGTTGCAGGACAAGGACAACCGAAACGTGTTGGTCGATGGACGTTAGAACAGCTTCGACAAACTGATGGTACGTTTGCTTGATTAATCACTTAAGCTCTGGCGATTGATCGCCATCAAAGTGGTATGCGATCATGAGCAATTTGAAATTGGAAAAAACAACGACTTGCTGAATGCATGAAAGATTAGGATAAAATCGTTTGATATTGATGAGGATGGTATGCAACAGATCATTTCTTTCTAGGTATAATCCCGTCTCAAGCGGGTTGGAACAAAGGTGATTCCCAAAAGTTGATGACCAATTTCGGTACACCACGAAACACAAGTACCAAAGTGAAATCGGACAATTTGCAAGTTCGTTGTTTCCATTCTCTGCTTCGAGAGCGCAACTATGGATAGATATCATTGTTGCTAATGAATGGTCTAAAAAAACTTCCAAAATTCTAATCAGCACTGCTAATTTGTGCACCATTTTCATTGAAGCTTTCGATCTTTTCGCATTCTCGTTTCGGTTCATAGCTGTATTTCTTATCTCTAAAACTGCATAGCAGTTAAGCAAGCTGCGAGTTTCAATTTGGGAGAATTGATGCAAAAAAATGAGTGAATTTTTAAAAGTGTTCACACATTTAGACATGTTGAAGCATCAAAATGCGGGGAAAAAAAGTTGATGGGGCAATTGCTGAAGCCATTCAATTGGCTATTACTCATTCATCCATCAAATGGTCTGCGAGTAACGGTTCGCTTTGACGGTAGCTTGTTTTTGTTGCCACTTTTCAGGAAGTTCCCGAAGAGGTGCTATTGCGATCAAATGGCGAGGTACGTTTGCAGTCAGGTACGAACAAATTTGACTCCCAGCGCGGTATGACTGGATTTGGAACAGGCCGAGACGTATGCAGAGAGGGTATTCACGTCAATCAACTGCCCAGTGACGTTCAGGTTCACAGATTCAGTCATGGATCAAATCTCTTCAGTACTTCATTGTTTCGTTGAGATGCAAAATCGGATGACCTTTATATGAGTTTTTTTTGGAAATTCAGTATACCAATTTCGCCTTTACAGAAAATAACAAAACATGCTGACCAATTTTTATCAATCGAGGTATATTTCTTCGTCACTACCACTGACTGACTGTAAAATGGGGAAGTTTTATCAATCAAATCCTTTTCGAATGTTCCAATCAATTTAAGGCACTTCCTGAAGAGAAAATTCGATTGAGTGATGGAATCGTTCGTCTTCAGGCCGGTACAAACAAATATGATTCACAAAAGGTTTCTGCTATCAACCCTTTTCCGTTTCCTCACATTTTCTAAAACCACAACAGTGAACAATGAATTCATTTTGTTCGTATGATTCCCAAGTGTACACTTTAAAAAAGGAATGATGCTAGCGATTGTGTAAGCTATACAAAGTGAGGTCAACAACGTTGCGCACTGCGCACATTCAAAATGAAAACTTTAACGACTCTATGAAAATCACTTACGTGATGGTCTACCCGGAAGACGTAAGTGCAATATTGAAGGGTATGACCGGTTTCGGCACGTCACGACGAGAAACGACTAAAATGTTGGATACAAAGCATCCAGAATACGATCATGAGCATCCGGATCAGTCTGAAATACCGCTTCAAGCCGGTACGAATAGATTCGCATCGCAGAAGGTATGATCTTTACCTTACAGTCATAGCACATCTATTTCAGATGAATATTTATTTATGCACGCTTATTTTTATTGCTGATTGTTGAATGAGGAACATAGCCATTAAATGGCTTGCTAAATCAAGGGAATGACTGGATTTGGTACATCACGTCGTGAAACTACAAAAATGATCGATACGTCCCATCCGGAATATAACCCAGAAAGTAGCATCGATGCGACAACGATCCCCAGTCAGATGGGCAGTAATAAATACGCGTCTCAAAAAGGCATGACTGGATTCGGTCAACCACGTTGGGAGGTTGGTTGACCTTTTGATAATATTTGCGATCACTTTCAATCAATGATCATTGCAATTGTTTTCAACGAATTCACTAGAATGAATATCTGCAAAAATGCTGGCACATTCAATGGTATTTTAGATAGATTGAAAGTGATCGTTATTGAAGTTTGAACTTTTAGCAGATTCAACGTGCAAATTAAGCGCAGTCGAGTTCTTCTCAATGCGCGGTTGATCTAGTTCACAAGAGTGCATCGATATCTTAGATGGTTTTGCTTGACTGCATTAAGAACGACAGCCAACTGTTTGCGTAGCAGCAATGAAAAACCAAACTTGCAGGTGCTAGATCCATCAATTTCGTGGCAAAATCGTAAGAGTCAAGGCATGGTTCGTCTACAGTCTGGTACTAACAGGTCAGTTGCTTTGTCTTAGTCTTTCTCATCATCAAATTTAGCAGATCGTTCAATTTCTTCATTCACACAAGTTTCACGTCTTCTTTCTAGTAGAATTATTGATTGTTATCGAAATGTAGTAAAGATAGAACAAACACGAGAATGCATTGAAAATTGATGATATGAATTGATGTGAATTGTTTTTGTTTACAGATTTGCCTCTCAGCAAGGAATGACTGGTTTTGGTACGGTCCGTAATACGACCTATGAAGCCGAAGCTGGTGAACTTCCTTATGAAGACATGAAAAAGTCCGAAACGATTATTCCTTCACAAGCCGGTTGGAACAGAGGCGACTCACAAAGAGTTGGTTCAATTATTTATTTAGCAAATTCATCATGTCCAAATTTGACTATCCATACTTCAGTGGGAAACTGTTGTTATTTGTTGCCTTCCGTTGAGTTAATTGATGAATCAAAGCTGAAAGCGGCTAATCAATCAGGAGTTGTTGCATATCGAATCGCGTGAATTCCATGTTGATGATCGATATTTAGAACGGTCGAGCTCCTCGATCCACTAGAGTCATTGCTATTGAATGCAGCCAAAAAATATTGTCGTTTTATTATCGACTCCTGAAAGAAGGCAACTTAAACTTCAGGGAATGACAGGCTTTGGAGCACCACGTGATGTGAAAGGCAAACATTTGAAACGAATTTGGGAATTAGAATATCCGGAAGAGGCGGAAGTATCTCTCGATCGACTCTGAAAAGAGAAAAGAGAACTGCCAAATATTGCATAATTTTTATCATTTTCACTGCTTTCTTTAAACAACAACAAGTTTTGCGCGTCAATACCATATATATACAAACTCACTCATCCAGTTATAAAACAACATCGTTATCGGCTGCAGCTTGTGGAGAAGAAGATTTGAAGATGAACAATAAGAAGAAGAAAAAGAAGAAAAAAATTTCGATGAATGAACCAAACAAAATTTTCTGATTTGAAATGATTTGAATAAAGCTGCAACTCTGCATTCTGTTTCCATCGTTACGTCGTTTACTTATGGGTATTTCGTGACTTGCAATTTGTTCTTCGGAGAACATGTTGGTGCATTTGCAATAATGTCGGCAAAAAACACGACAGACTCATCTAATCAGTTTATATAATTGTAGGAGAGCAGAAAAACGAAATTCCTCAGCAAATTAACTCACAAAGAAATTTTTCGATTCTTGCATCGATAATCTCTAGCCGCGATATAATTCCCACAACAACGTTTGATTGAGCAATCCAATAGTTTTTTCAATCGTATGTGGGAAAATATGCGATCATTATAAACCCAGTGAAATTGGTAACTTTTGTTAAGTTTCCGAAATGGTAGCTGCTGACCACTTGGTTGTATTCATTGCTGAATGAATAGTCATACGAAAATCAGTCACTGAGAGTAGAAAAAACACTGGTGAAATTCAATCGGCCACAAACAATGATTAAGAATTGTTGATTGGGCAGAACAATGGGACAATTGAGATTCAAAAACTGAAATACTTCTTGTTGATGATGCCAGTAACTAAGATAAGAATAGCAATAAGACTAGTAGAGCACATAAAAATACTTAAGAAAGATACGCTGAATATTAATTCATACTAAATTATCTCTATTCAATTATAACATGAAATGTTGGTGTGCAAAGGATAATTATCATCATTGATAATAAGAAGAATCGAAGCACTATATCAGTGGTTCTCACGTTCGGGTGCTCCATTAACTCTTTTGATGATTCGCCAGGCCGTCGTTACCTCCAAATTACCCAAAACGGGTAGATTGACTTCCTATGAAAACCATTGTCCTAGACCGTTGCGTTGCTCATTATTGCAATCGAGTATGATTGCATGAAAAGCTGATGTCTATGACATGCTCATTTCAAACTGATTTAGACGAATTCTCATTCTTTTCAGACGTGTTGTATTCACTCTCATAGCTATTACATGCGAATATCGTTCTCTTGATGAGTTTTTCTCATTCACTTCGTATCACTTCACTTCACAGCTCGAATCAATTTCTTATTCTGTAGCATATACTATTTACTGGATACGTTGACGAGTGTTGACAGCCGAAATCAACAATACAACAATCGAATATTATTGCTCGACAACGTTCGACAGTCAAATAATCAATTATAGAGTGTATTTGATAGAATGAGAATTTTACTTTAATTATTCAGTGAAATGAATGAGAAATTAGCAGAAGAGAACACTTTTGGTGATAAAAGCTATGAGAGCGATTCTAACAGCAAGGAAAAGAATGAAAACCCTGTTAAAATAGTAAAAAATGAACTCTGTTAGGTCCGGACAAGCTAATGATACTCAGAAAATAGGAGAATGAAGAGTGTTGCCATCAACTGGCCACATTTACATATCCGAATTACAAAAACACCATCACAATGGCGTTCTACCAAAACGTAACCACTGCACGAAATACTGATACCCGACCCCCTCCATTACCCCTTGACACCTCCAAATTACCCAAAATGGGTAATTTTGCTCCCCCCCCCTATGAGAACCACTGCACTATATAATCATTCTTCCTCTCTCGCTCATTCCATTCAAGATAATGATCAGTCTCTGTCCTTTTTATCCGCATTCGGTCCGAAAATTTTTACTTCAAATAACATCAATAGCTGCAAATAAACCTACTCGCAGGTTCAAGAGGTATACGGGAGAAAAAAAAAACAATCGGCAATTATTCTAAAAGCTAACAAGAAATATGCATGGTGTGCCATCACAGATTACCCTGTTTTGCTAGTCTTTCGCAGCCTTATTTGATCTAAATTCTCCATCACTACTGCCAATTAGATATGCTTACTGCCTATGTCTCATGAATAATGTCATTATTATAATCACTTTCTCACTGTTATCGTTATCGAGTATTTAACACCAAAACTTATTTAAAACTGTCTCAATTCGCGTCATTTCACTCAAGAAAACGAACATTTTCTGCATGAAATCACCATAACAGCTGTTCAAAAAAATCACTAAAATCGAGTGATCTTTCAACGCTCCTAGTCAGTACTTCCTTCTTATGTCTTCACCAATTACTACCTTCCTACCGCTCTAGCCATATTCGTTGCCCATCTGCTTTTTTGTACGAATATATTTAATACTAATAAAATATTCTTAATCTTGATGAATCCTCAATTCTGTATTACCAAAAACAGAAGCAATCATTTTGTATGCGTTCCATCACTTGGAAGGTCGAAGTAAAATAGAACTAAGGCATAATCATATATTATTTCCTCATTATATATGCAATAATTTACGGATGGGCATGTTCTAGTGGCGCTGTAGACATTTACTTCCACTGTATACTGTGTTTTATTCGAATCAACTGATCACAACAGAGAACAAAATGATGAAAAGACTGAACAACAAACAAACTGATGTTGTGCGGGGAGTTCCCCAACTCGGGGTATCCGTTCCCGTCCCTGACGGCGCCATTTTCGAGTGGCGGCCATTTTTGGGGACTTTCTCCGTCCCCGAAATGTCCCCGATTCTCTCCGTTCCCGACTTTTTTCTCTCCCGCGCAACACCAAAATAAACATATTGAAAATTTAGAGCGAACACTGCAAAAAAAAGTTTTTAAAGCAAGTTTTTCAGCATGATTATCTACAATATGATCTTCATTCTACGACAATACATTTGAGAAAAAACGTGCAACCGGACGAAAAAAAAAATTAAGTTGTCTGAAAACCGGAAGGTCTCTTCTTGATTGACCTTCAGAATATTAATCAAACCAAAAAATAAATCATCTTATGAAAATCAATTGAAGAACTCATGTCTATGCAGGAATATGACTACTGTCCGCGCATGGATTGATGTTCAGTACCATGTAAAATCTGCACTAACTGCAGTTCGTTTGTGATTGCAAAAATCTTCAGCAATTCTCATGATCGTTAAGCTAAATTTCAGCAGTGACCACCACATTATTGTTTCATTAGTCATTTGCGTACTGAGAAATGAATTAACCGCTCAGTCAGTCAGTCAGTCACACATCATGGCAAGGACAATATGCATGAACGATTCAACGAAGGAACGATCGAACGATACTTGATGAAGAAGAAAAACTAAATTTCTTCAAGATCATGGTTAGCGTATCGTTTTCATTATTAATATTGATATTACTATTGATATTTGTATTAATATTATTGCTCTAGTTATTATCATTATTGTTATCACTATTGTTATTATTATTAGCATTATTATTATTATTATTATTATTATTATTATTATTATTATTATTATTATTGTTATTATTA